CATTGTATTTCAAGACAAATCTAGAAATGACTTTTTTTTAACTATGAAAGCAACCCCATTTTTCCTCATCTTTTCATCTCGAGCATAGTTTATCATATGATTGTCTGACTCAAAATGTCCCATGCCAATCTATCTCATTTCGCCAATACCTATTATGTCAATATTTATGTGTTCCATTTCTTTCTTATAAATATCTATTTTTCCTACATCCATGGTTTTCACATTCCAGGTTCCAGTTACTAGTACCTGCTTACAACTGTTCCTCCTCCTTTGCATTTCCATTCTTGAAGGCTTAGCCTCAGTTGCCATATGTTAGTCTTATGTAAGTTCATATTATCCAGGCCATGGTCTTTGTAGTTACGTGCTATGCATTAGGAAGCTGGATAATGACTGGAGATGACAGAAGGAGAATTGATGCCTTTGAGCTGTGGTGCTGGAGAAGAATATTGAATATTCCATGGACTGCTAGAAGGAAAAACAGGTTGGTCTAAGAGAGGGTGAGACCAGGCTGCTCCTTAGAGACAAGGATTCTGAAGCTTCATCTGATATACTTTGGACATGTTGCAAGAAGGGACGAGTCCTTGGAGAAGGACGTCATGCTTGGGAGGGTGGAGGGACAGTGCAAGAGAGGAAGACCCTTGAGTAGATGGATTAATTAAGTGACTAGGTTTATGTGGGTAGGTGTCTGAGAGGCAGTAAAATTGGCTCAGGAGAGAGCAGGGTTTAGGGTTGTTGTACATAGGGTTTCTGTGAGTCGCAGGCAACTTGACGGCACATAACAACAACAACAAAGTGATCTCTCATTGGCCCTCAATCAAGTTTAACATTGACCACAGAATATAAATAATGGGACAAAGAGAAAACATGGTAGAGTGAAGAAACAGCCTGGAAACTCTTTAAGTTAATGCAAAGAAAGCAAAATAAGGCACATTTGCAATTATTGCCAAAACCATGGAATTTTGCTTATTCTTTAAGGTGTACCTGATTCAAGTCATGGTCTTTTTTTAAAAAATTTATACTAGTTGATTTACAAAATTAGAATACATTGTTTTTGAGAACAGACTCTTCCAATTTCCCTCACACTCCACCCATCAAATTGTACAGCTCCATGATTAATCCCTCCACCCCCTGCACACTTGCTATGCAGAAGAAGAATTGATGGCTTCGAGTTCTAGTGCTGGAGAAGAGTACTGACTATCCTCTTACCTGTCAAAAACCAAACAGGTATGACTTGGAAAAAGTGGAGCCAGAGTTTTCCTTGAAGGCAAAGATGGAGAAGATTCATCTCATACTTTGAGCATGTTGCTAGGAGAGGCTATTCCTTGGCAAAGTAGCATCATGCTTGAAAAGATGGAGGATAAGCAACTCTCACCCCTAGGGAGAGAGATTGAAACAGTGACTACAGCACTGGGCTCAAATGTGCCTGAGATGGTAAGAATGACACAGGATAGGACAGGGTTCAGGTCTGTTGTTCGTAGGGTCGCTTCATGCTTGACACAATGGCACCTAACAAACACGAAAATAACTGTTCGTGTTGGCCTGTTATGAGAGAACCGTTAACGACACTATTCAGGTCTGTAATTGACTCATATAAGTGTGTCTAACTTTAAGAGTAGCAGTATTTTTAAAATGAAAGCACTATTAAAAAATCTCAGCACTTTTTGGGTAGCACTAAATGAATTATGCCTGAAGCTAAGGGGTTGTTACATACTACAGGATTAGTATATAAGCGAAAGGCTAAACATTTTAAGTGGAATATCGTGGCTTGATAATTGGGAAAAATGTTCCAACAATTAAGATGTCTGAAAATGAGAATGAGCTATTTTTCTCTAAGCCTATTAGTTTCATCATTGGAAAATTAAAATAGAGGTTCGATTCAGGGCAGTGTTAGTGGATATGAAACTTTGAGTAAATATGAAAAAGAGACTCTGTTGTGGATTACTTAATAAAGGTTGCTCTCTTCCTCTGTGTAGGTCCTCATGCTGGTACTTGGCTTATTAGTAACAGTAAATGATACTGTCTCAGCCCATTCTAGAATTGAGAATGAAGCTCTGGTGACATAATGCATAGAAAGCTATGTTGTGAACCCATGTTGGCATCCTCTCTGGTGGGTCAAATCCACTGGTGGCTCCACAGAAGAAAGATGGGCAACCTTCTCCCCTGTGATTTTCAGCATATGAAAACTCACGGGAAGGCCAGCTACTAGTTTGTTACAATGAGTTGCCAAGGAGATTGAGTTCTTAGGAGAGAGGCGTAGGCACTGTCTTCTTACTAGAAATGCCGTAGATAAATGTCCTGCAGTAGGGTGAATTTGAACTTGATATCTTTCAAGCTGGATGAGTCCACATTTCCAAGTGTAAGCCCAAGTGGTTTAGCTGTCCCAGTATACACACAGAAATCATTCAAAGAAGAGCAATGAAGCAATCATAAACAATTAAAGAAGAAATTCAGTCTTGACTAGTAGATTTCAAAATCTTTTACATATTCCAATTTATAACCTGTACACCATTTTCCCAAACACTCTTCCTTCACTCAAGCCCTGCTCAGTTCCTTCACACTTCATAATTTCTTGAAAGGCTATCACACGACACTCTCTAATGGTCTCTCTGAAGACCTAATTCATGAATTTTCTCTCTTTTGTCTTTTTTCCCCTCTTACAGTTCCCATCTAGGTTTTCCTGCTTCAGTTCTTCAGACTCAATAAAATAAGAAAAAAAAAAAAAGAAAAGAAATGGGTTGACAAAAATAGAACTTTCCTTAGGTTGTGAGAGAATTGGGAGATGCTGAACAAATAAAAACAAAACTTCTTAGAAGTACATTATTTTGCTCTCTTTATCCTCCCTCTCCCACTATTTCTGTTCCTCTTTCCCTCTCCACCTATTTTACTGATTTTACTAGAAATATTATATAAACTAGATTAAAAGAGATTGAATTATCCGTCAATAATTTCAGGGGGTTGTTGTTTTTGTTATGTGCTGTTGAGTCGCTTGTGACTCATAGTGACCCTATGTACAACAGCTCTAGACTCTGCTCTGTCCTGTGCCAATCTCATTGCCTCCGACACACTCATCCTGATTGCCCCAGTCACCAAATCAATCCATCTCCCAGAGGGCCTTCCCCTCCTGTGCCTGCCCTCCACCCTCCCAAGCATGAAGTCCCTCTCTAAGGACTGGTCTCTCCTTACAACATGACCAAAGTATGTCAGACGAAGTCTCAGAATTCTTGCCTCCAAGGACGAGCCTGGTTTAACCCTCTACAGGATGAATCTGTTTGTTTTCTTAGCAGTCCATGGCACCCTCAGCACTCTTCTCCAACACCAAAGCTCAAAAGCATCAATTCTCCTTCTGTCCTCCCTGGTCATTGTTCAGCTCTCTGACGCATAACAAGTGATTGCAAAGACCATGTCCTGTACCAGAGGACATTACTTTCTAATTTTGCCAGTATCAATTGTAAATTTATGATCTATATGTGATTTAAAAATATCTTGAACAATTATTTTGATTATAAAGTGACACTCATCATGTGACACAAACACTCATTTACATAAAACAGATTGCTGCTTGTGTAGGGCAAATAACATAGCATTTTTCTTAAAAGTAGATTTGGAATTATCTTGTGAGTCTAACTTTCATACTAAGAGGACAGGGTTAGAATGGTACCAAAATTGGTTCAATGGGATACTATGTATAAGAAGAGGAGTCCTAGGTGGTACACTTGACTTCTAACTGAAAGGTTGGAAGCTAGAACCCCCTCGGAGGCACGGTGGAGGAAAAGCCTGGTGATCTTCATCCAAAGAAGTCACAGCCTGGAGAATCCTCCACAATGTGGTTCTCTTCAATGCTTGGCATCTTTAAGAATTGAAGCTAACTGGTTGGCAACCACTTTCCCCATCTCTATGATGATCCCTGCATTTTCTGGATTTAGGTGAATTTTCAGGTGTTTTGGAAATTTAATGTACTGTAAACAACTGGAAAAATTAAAAAAAGAGCCTGTTCTGTAGGTTAGTATGAGTAGATACCTTTTTATTTTCTACCTATTCATAGTTAGGATTTACTTATTTAAAAAGTTTATTTGTACAGGCTGAAAACCAGAGCGACTGTGTTTTTGGGAGGCTGATATTACTCACCTAGAAACAAAAGTGAAGGTCCAGCAGGGACTCCTCAGAGTAGCCAAATATTCCAAGTACCTTGTTATTCTAAAGGCTTCCAGAAGTCAGTTTTCAACTTCCTGGACAAAAAGCCGTTAAAATGGGTGACTTACATACATGCTGTCTTTTTATTGGTTTCATACTTTTAGTTAGTACATTTTTTGTTTGTTTGGTTTGGGTTTGATTCCAAAGGTACATGGGGCTCCTACATGTGGACTTTTTCTTCTGGAGGAAAAGAACAATAATGAAACAGTCTTTGATAGCCTATCTCCTCCTGACAAACTGGAATGCTCCTGAAAAAAAGATAAGCTCCCCAAAGTTACATGGAAAAAGAGACACTTCACACGATTGTTGAAGCCATACTGAACTGTTCACTTACACAGCATGGGTGTGTAAATGACATGATTTAGATAGAGAAAATTTTAGAAACAAAGAAATCATTTAAACACAAATATTTCTTCTTATCCCGTGAGTAGTTTAAGTCTATTTAAAAGAATTGCTTATTCTTTTCCCAGACTTTCTACATGTTTCTATGTGAATGAAAACTACATTTAACAGTGATTAACAATGGTAAAAGCCTCTTTAGCAGTGTCCGGTCACATTGCTGAAGGTTGTAGAACTGGCACGTATCTGACACATTGGATATGCTTACCTCTCAAAGAAGTAGCTTTTCAGACTACATTTTGCACGGGAGAACCTTTTGGCAGTTTTTGGGATTTTGCACAGCTTGGAGGCAGAGACAGGACTGGCTGAGTGCTTCCTGCTGTCATTAGCATAACCCAGCCCACTTCCAATGCACGCCCAGAACTACCTCATTAACCATTGGGATGGGAGCCAAAAACTAAGACTACAGTGAATATAAGGGGAATTACTGGCGAAAGAGCTCTAGTCCAATTTAAGCCTAAACCCTTTGCTTTCCCAAGATCAGAAAATATTACAGTTAACAGGAACCAGTTCTCCATTTCATTCAGACGAGAGTCCAAAGTTTTAATCTAATTTTTTAAAAATCTAGAATAATTAGCTACCCCATCACAGGACACACAGGCCAGCTGCATATATTTAAAGTCTTCTGTTAATCTCTCTCCCTCTCTCCTCTGTTTTATTCATTGATTTCCTGAGTAGCTTTGACTTTGTAAACCTCAGAAGGACTGGAGACTGGCATTGAGAGGAGGTATTCGCCAGCGGTTTTTTTCTTTTTAAAAGTGTACTCGAACAAGAGGAAATCTGAAAGAGAGAAAAAAAATGACAGGGGCAAAGAGGAAAAAGAAAAGCGTGCCCTGGAGCAAGATGCATGTCCCACATTGTGAAGACATTAAGACGTGGTGGAGAAGGAGGATACCTATTTTGGAATGGGCGCAGCATTACGATCTGAAAGAAAACTTGCTCCCAGACACTGTGTCTGGAATAATGCTGGCAGTTCAACAGGTGACCCAAGGTAACGTACTGTGTTTGGTTTTCCTCTTCTATTCAAAAGAGATCTCACTCTTTCTTAGAATTATAAACTAGGATTAACAATTTATCTAATGAGGTAAATAACTACTTCTGGAGAAATAAGCACATTGTATGTGTCTGTGCATGAAAGTTTTAATGGTCTCGCTGCTGTTTTGATAGCTAGTCAGCATTGAACGCATTTTTGAATGGTATTAGATGTTTGCAACTTTAAAAGTCATTTGATAGAAGAGTGAAAAATCAGGGATCCTGGGAGAATGTGTTTCTGTAGCTTGACCATGGGATTAAAGTATCTCCTGGCTTGAGTACGATCTTTTGTAGACCTAATTAATAGCACACAAATACCTGTTTAGCCTTGAGAGGTGCTAGAAGCAAGGAACAGACCTTTCTGTACATAAAGGAGGCTCTTTGCCAAATCGTTATTTGCTGAGAGAATCCTGTGTGTCCCAAGAGCTTTTGTGGCTTTGCGTTCTAACTTCTGTATCACATTACCTATTGCACCTATTTCTCAGTAAAAACAGAAACTGATGCAGTTGCTGATTTTAACTTTTTCCAAGCATATTCCAAATGATATTCCAACTATAGTTAGGTGTTTCTTGTGATGGAAACCAGCTAACAAAAGAGTATGAGATTAATCATAGGGTCACACAACTTGATGGGTGGATGGAAGGGTGGGTAAAGAAAAGGGGGGGGGAATGTGTGTGTGTGTGTGTGTGTGTGTGTGTGTGTGTGTGTCTGTGTGTGTATTCCTTAAAAGCATAGTCAGTGTAATTTTGACTGATTCAGGTAGTGATTTTCTATTTCTAAGAAAAGGAATGATTGTCTCAACCCTGGGAATTTACAACAGTTCCCTTGGCACAGACTGGAAGTTTCTATTTCTTTGCAGTTTCACGGCTTCTCTGGCTTTAACTATTATTTATACTGTTAACGTATAAGCACTTTTAATTGAATTATTCTGTAGCGGGAACCAACTGGCTTGTGTAAGTATTTGTATTTTTAGTATAATTAGGAACATCTGCGCTAGTGGCTTTGCGATCTCTAATACTGTCATTCTATAAGTGATTCCATTTCATTGAATGGTCTTACATTACATTTTTGATGACCATTTTGCTAATAGTATAGTAGACTAATCTTTCAGAAAAAAATGCAAAGTAAATAACAGAGTAGGGTTTATTTTTAGGCTTGTTTTCATTTCATTTTAAATTCAAAATTTCAACCACCACAAGCGCTTTGAAAACTTAAAAGGGATTCCCCCCCATTAAATAATTTCAATTTATGCTTTAAAATGATTTTGTTTCAAGTGAGTGTAAAATGATTGAGAATTGTGTATTTAAAAATTTTTTTTTCCTCTGCATCGTTTGAGCGTAACAAGTCAAAAAGGAAATTTAAGATATAATTATCATGAGTGGTAAAATTGATGTCTAAAGTCTTTGACAGATGTATAGACTCTTATTTGTGTATCTGCTTTGAAAGATCATATTTTAAGAGTTATCTATGTCATTAGTTGTAAAGAAAGTCAGTCCCTGCCAACTTGGAAGAGAAATGCTCAAGTGGCATTCCTGTCTTGGGAAGCCATCCATCTGGATGCTGGTCCTTAGAGAAGATCTTGCAGTGAATGAGCACAATGAAAAAATTTTGGTGGGTTATGAAAAGATCAATCTTAAAAGAATCTACTCTTTGAAAATTAAGTTTCACAAACTTTGTAATGTTCATCTGTTAACACTCACTACTATAGAAATGGTCTGTCTTACAGTGATCCCCTACTGAGTTCCAAGGTTACAAACTTCTGTAGGAAGAGACTGCCCAGCTTTCTTTCATGGAGTGGCTGGGAGATTTGAACTGCTGACTTTTTAGCTGGAAGCCTGTTAACTATGGAGATTTAAAAGGGGAAGTATCATTAGTGACCATTTGTTGTAAGGGCACTGTGCCAAGCATATAAACATTCTCTTACCGGGTATTGTTAGTGGTCATCATGGAGACCCCATGTGTGCAGAGTAGCACTGTTCTATAAGTTTTCAAGGCTTTTAGAAACGGATTGCCAGACTTATCTTCTGAAGCACCTCTGGGTGAACTCAAACTGCTAACCCTTCAGCTGGTAGTCAAGTCCTTAATTATTTATGGCACCCAAGGTAGCTGTATCTCAACAAAACTCCAAGGCACTTCTGCATTTCACATAAGAGAAAATGGGTGGCTGGAAGCACAAGTCATATTCTCTGGATTTCATACCTGATACGTGATAGAGTCAGGACTTGATTCCAAAGCTAACATACTCCATATTTTATATTTCCACACTGCCAAAATAACCAGACTTTTCATAATACCATTGTTATTAGTAATAGAAACCATTTCTTTGGAAAGGTACAAATAGCCTTCTCTTCAAATTACTTTTGCATGCAGGTTTCATCCTTGTCATTTTAAGACTCAAAGGCAAAGTGACAAGAAAAATAACTATATGATACAAGGTCAGGAAAATATTTAGATAGCACTCACTTCTATTTGTAGGAATATAATACTGGTAATCACTATCAATGGTATTTATTTAGAAAAAATAGAAGAAAGGATTTTACATTTGCTTCACAACACTAAAGGAATGAATATCTTTTTTTTCTCTACTGCATTTTGGAGAACTTTTCAGATCTGCAGCATATTAATTTATAAAGTTGCTGAGTTCAGTGCTTCTTTGAGCTACAAATATAGAAAATGTATGTAGTTCAATCTTCTACTTGCTCTTCATTTCTTAAAAGAAAAAAATTTAACAATAAGGACAGTAGGAGTAATATTTGAGTGTTTTCTATACATAAAATACTTAGAAAACATTCAAAAGTACTTTATTAAAGACTCTTGATTGTTAAATATAATAAATGACCTTTAAATTCTTATCTTGGTTTATTTATCAAATTTCCCTTTCCAAAACCCTTTCCCCTCTTGGTTTAGATAGTATTTGTTGATTTTCTCTTGCCATGCCAAAGGTCTTTTCTTGTGAGTCTTTTGCCTATCTACTCCCTGCTTGGTCTACCTGTTAAATTCAGTGCCTTGAAGATTCTAACTCTGAGTGTGCCTCCCAATATTCCCTTGGCAATGTCATCTACATCCACCATTATAAACATGATCATGAAACTTTCTTCTTAATCTCAACTTCACAATTGAACCAACACATGCAACACTTAGACTTTTGTTTTTTTGGTACCCCGTGTGTTACCACTTAGACCTTTGAAACAAACAAATGGAACGGCATCGCCATCCTAAAAAGTCAGAATTATAATAATGTATAATAACAGTTATTGATAGGCACAAATACAAATACTGTTCTTAGATCACTGGGCATATCTGCAAAGCCGAAGCTCAATGAGGGTAAATAACTTGCCTAAAGTCACATAGCAAGTGAGTGGAAAAGGTAGAATTTGAATTAAAGGAGTCTAACTCCAAAGATTTTATACTAGATCATCTTTCATAGAAATCTGGAACGCCTCAAGTTTTAATTCTTTTTCCCCCCTACTCTACCCGCTTCTAACATACTATCTTCTTCTGGATTCTGTTGTTTCTCCTTTCTGCATGTCTTTCCAACCTTAGGAGCTTTGGTGGCTTAGTGGCAGGAAGTTGCGTTACAATACCTGCCTTATAATTGAAGGCATGAGCTTCAAGGCCACCAGCTGCTTCATGGGAGAAGGATGGGCAATCTTCTCCTTTGTGATTAACTGCCTCTGAAATCCCGCTGGAGGGTCAGCTATCGGTCAATTTGGACTCTACGGTACACAAAACAACACAAAACAAAACGTCTTACTTCATGTCCCTGATGCCTTAGTTCTCTACTGAAATCACCTTATGGATCCTCATCTTTTGCTTTGTCTCCCCCTGTAGGTCATATTCCATACTGCATCTAGAATGGTCAATCAGAACATTTAACATCCTTGTTCAGAATTCCCCTGTGATCCAATAGGATAAATCCCCATTCTTCAGCTAGGCTATCTGATCATTGATAATCTGGGCCTTTCATACAAAGATCTGTTCAAACAGCTATCTCCTCTGAGAATTCTTCTGAATTCTCCGGGAAGACTTCCTTCCCTCCTACTCCTTTCACCATTTTCACATATCTCGATGATAAGTCTCAACATAATGTATCCATCTTTTAGCACAACTCTTCTCACTGTGGTCTGTAGGCTCTGGGAACAAAGGTGATGCGTGAATTTGTATACTCTTGGCAACTTCCATAGTGCCTGGCATGTAGAAGTAGGTTTTAAAGAAATAGTTGCTGGAAGATGGAAACAGGTTAGCTCTCAAAGATAAGTGATTTCATTGAACTATGATGCTTTGCAATAGTGTTAAAATAATATTGCTTTTAAAGTAAAATTAAGATGCTAATGGTAAGCAAGCTGAAGTTATCAACAACCACAGTTCCTTCTCCGTCCATCATGAAGCTGCTCATAGGCCCAGTGGTGAGAATCTTTGTTTTCTTGATGTTGAGCTTCAATTCATATTGAAGGCTACAGTCCTTCACCTTCAACAGCAAACACCTCATGTTCTCTTCAGTTTCAGCTTGCTTGGTTCCACAATCAATACTCTTAGCACCACCAATTAGGAAATAATAATAATAAAAAAGAAACATTTGCACTGGGAAAGTCTGCTGTCAGGGATCACTCTAGAGTATTGAAGAGCAATAATGTCAGCCTGGAGACTAAGGTGCACCTGATCCAGGCAATGGTCTTCACAAATACTTGCTATGCATCCAAGAGCTGGACAATAACTAAAGAAGATTGATGCCTTTGAGTTGTTGAACATACTGCGTGGATTTCCAGGAGAGCAAACAGATCTGTTCTGGAGAGGGTGAAACCAGGCTACTCCCTGGAGGCAAGGATTTTGAGGCTCTGTCTCACATAATTTGGGTACGTGGCCTGGAGGGACTAATCTTTGGAGAGGGACATCATGCTTGGAAGGGGGAAGAGAAAGTGCAGGAGGGGAAGACCCAGGATGAAACTCGCGTTTCATCCA